CTACAGCGGATGCCTGCTCACTGCTGGGGATAGGGACCGAGCGCGACCAAAAATAGCAAATATCTGTGAATAATTGACACTCCCTTACAAGTGATTGTAAATGCCTATTAGGGGAGTAAAGAAAAGCGATTTGAATCAGAAAATAATTTTTCACTGAATAGATGGGAGTGCATCGAATCAAACCGGGTCAAAATGTTCCACTTTAATATTGAAAATTGAGATACGAATCAAATCGCCTTTTATTGGAGAGATATGCAACCCGAATATACATTTCATGAAACTTATTTTGTGCACCGGTGCACAGTCGTGCTGGACGAGGAAGGGGCCAGTCCCAAACTGTTCCCACAAATTTGAGAGCATCGAGAATCGCTTGGTAAGGTGAGTGCTTCTTGACCTCAATGCGAGAGAGCACCTTTAGAATGAATTACAGTGGAGACTGAGCGCCAAGCCTTCTCGTTCCATATTAGTGTATGACCTCTCAAATGCGCTTCTGGAAGGATGGTCAAAATTGACCATAAACGCACTTTGTGGACAACCTGCCCAGAATTACATCTCTATGTACATCTATATTTTTAATTTTCTCTCTCTCTCTCTCTCTCTCTCTCACACACACACACACACACACACACACACACACACACACACACACACACACACACACACACACAACTGTGGGTAAGTCTGATGTAATCCAATGGTGTCAATCACATGACAATAAAGAACGGGACATGCTGCAGGGACTGCTTCCGGCAAGCAGTAAACCCAGAGCTGATCACATGATGACAGGGGGCTGCTGAATGTCACTAAAATATGATTAATAGAGAAATGAACCTCTAAATGGAAAAGGCTGCTTTTAGTAACACAAATGTGTAAAGAGAATAATAAGAGGGTGTCTGATAACAATCTGTACATTAAGTGTATTTTCAGAAGCGTTGGAACACAGGGTTGTACCACTATTCTTACAAATGTTACTTGGATATTTGTGTCCAAGCGGTTCCAATAAGAGAGATGAAATGGGTGGGGGGGAATAACCTCGTAGATTTGCCACTAGAAACTGATCACTCACACAATCTCCATGTCCTTGTTGTTATTGCCCCTCCCAACAACAGGCAGGAAGTTACAAGCAAAGTGCAGAAGCCATAAAGGTTGAACACCACAATCTCTACGGACATCATTTCCCATTAGAACGACCCAAGTCAAGAAGAAACTTTCTCATTTTAGGAAGAAACCAGACTCCAGCTCTGGATCTGAAATTTTACTGAGTTAGAGCCGAACATCAGGAACAAGAACAGTATGCTCCAGGGTTGCACTGAATAACAGGCTACAAAACCCGACCAACCATCTGTAAATGTGGCACACATGACCAAACATCTGTAAATGTGGTGCACATCATGGCACATAACCCTGTCTGCCCTCTACAACCCAACTCCTGCAGCCAGAAAGATTTTGTCACCTTCAACAAAAACACAAAAATCTATGTAAAGAAATGGGACACCGTTGCATAACATCCCTTTGAGGAAACGCTCATAATGCTAACATGTAATACGCTTAAAGCGTGTCTAAACAAGCACAAAGGAATCCCCCGTAAGCAAACATAATGCAACTTTTGTAAAGAAAGTGCAAAAGGAGACCATTAAGATAATGATACATCGTGGCCATGCATGGTGCAACAAACTTTTGTTTGTGCCTATGCACTAAAGAGCAGTTCAGAGTATCAATCATTTTGCCGGTGGATTTCAATGCTCATGTGGGCAATGACAGTGAGAACTGGAAAGGCGTGATTGGGAGGATGCCATCAAGCTGAGCAAAGAGTCCTTTTTGACCAGTGGGACTCTGGAGGCAGCTGACAGAAACTGGCTGGCCAAGGGGAATGCACTTTCAGCGGTCATTGAGGCAAAACCTCGGGCATGCGAGGAGTTTGGCAAGGCCATGGCAAACAACTTCAGGATAGCTTAGAGGAAATTCAGGTCCACCATTCGGTGTCTCAGGAGGGGGAAACGGTACACCACAGTGGATAGTGGAGATGGGGTGCTGCTGACCCCGACATGGGACGTGGTGAGTCGGTGGTTTGAATACTTTGAAGACCTCATCAATTCCACCAACACACCTATTGAGGAAGCAGCGCGTGGAGATTTTGAAGTGGGCTCTCCTGTCTCTGGGTTTGAAGTCACGGAGGAACAGAAGACCAGCTCTATACCCTTGGCAGGGTCAGTGAGGGTGCATAGGAGTTTGCCCAACTAGTCTACATGTGTTTTGTGGATGTGGAGAAGGCGTTCGACCGTGTCCCTTGAGGAGTTCTGTCGTGGGTGCTTTGGGAGAACGGGGTACCAAGCCCTGATATGGGCTGTTCGATCCCTATACCACCGATGTCAGAATTTGGTCTGCATTGCTGGCAGTAAGTTGGATTTGTTTCCAGTGAGGGTTGGACTTCCGCAAGGCTGCCCTTTGTCACCCTGTTCATAACTTTTATGGACAGAATTTAAAGCCGCTGCCGAGGTGTTGAGGCGATCCGGTTTGGTGGCCTCAATATTGCATCTCTGTTTTTTGCAGATGATGTGGTACTGTTGGCTTCTTCAAGCCGTGATCTCCAACTCTCATTGGAGTGATTTGCAGCCGAGAGGGAAACGGTTGGGATGAAAATCGGCACCTCCAAATCTGAGACCGTGGTCCTCAGTCGGAAAAGGGTGGAGTGCCCTCTTCAAGTCGGGGATGAGATTCTGCCACAAGTGGAAGAGTTCAAGTATCTTGGGATCTTGTTCACGAGTGAGTGCAGGATGGAGCGTGAGATTGAAAGGCGGGTACGTGGGTCTGCTGTGATGCAGACTTTGTATCAGTCTGTCACAGTCAAGAAGGTGCGCATCACAAACAGACTATTCAAATGCATGGCACCTGTTGTACATGATCCAATTCAAAGTCCTTTCTTCACAAAAAATGGTCAGCAATATACTTTGTGTATCTTTGGTTGAGAGTCAAAAATAAAACAGTATATGATCTCCGATTAGTGCAACACTGAAACACTTGCTAAAGTTGAACCAACGTATTTGACCAGGTCTTTCTGCTTAGTCATGAATTACCATTATCATAACTTTCTGTGAATATTATACTTACATTGCTCTTGTCTTCACACCAAATATTTCAAGCTTGAAGACGTTTGAAATCATGGCTTTGGATCCTCCCTTGTTATAAGTGTAACGAACTGCATCAACGTGCAGAGAGGATCGTAACAAAGGGGTTCTTAAAAGTGCAATAGTCTGGGATGTATATTTTGCGAACCTTGACATGAAAGCACAATAAAATGCATATTGCACTGAAATGAACACATTCTACTGCTTGGTGGTGAGACGGGCCTTCTTGAACAATTCAAGTGCCAGAAGGTGTAAAGGGTATTTGGTACTTGCACTAAGCAGGCTAAACTCCTCTGTAAAATGATCTCACATCTTCTCTCTCACTGCGCTGTGATAAAGTTCTGCTCCGATTCCTCTGCACTGACCCAAGCTGAATGACTCCAGTGAGTTATTCATACTTGGCGCCAGAGAGTTTGATTACCACCAGCGCCTTGAGAAACGGACACCCTTCCATTTGTATGAAGAGAGCTGCTTCAAAATCTGACAAGTCTATCCTATTCCAGTTTCCTCCACCCCCAAAGCCAGTGCCCTCGCTACCACCGCCGACAACCCAAACTCTTGCCCCCACCCCCCTCCCCTCCCCTGGGCCCCCTTCAGCCAAGCTGCATGTCTCTGGAGGACGCCTCTGACGTCAGCAGCTCGACTGGGCTGTGCGCCAGCACTGTTGGCCCTTGATGGATGCCGTTGGTCTGGGAAACAGCTCACTGAGTGTGGAGCGGTACACACTCAACATGGCCTGCTCGAACACATCCAACAAGCAGTAAACAAGCCCGTTCCTTCTCTTTCTGTTGTCCATCACACACAATGACAATTAAAGAATATGTACAGGTGCGGCATTGTACAGCAAATGAGCAAAATAATCAATAAATGCCCCCTCAAAAATGTGTGCGGGGAAATATTTTAGTGCAGTGCGATTTTTATATGACAAGAAAACTGGTGGGGCACCAACCACTTACATACCAAGAAGACTGCAGTACTCTATTTAGCACAGAATTTATTGAGCCAAGGCGCCCATTTTACATAATCTCATGTCGCAACACCAGACAAAAAAATATGAATTCTGATATAATGACAGTCTCAACTCAATTTACTTTACAAAGTGACTTAGTCGAAAATCTGGGCCATTTTAATGGAACGCGAAGCTTGTATACTCACAGGAAGCCATGACTGACAAGAAATGGATGCACAGGTTTATTTTTTGAAAATAATAAATTAAAACCCACAAAAGATCTTCAAAAAACAAAAAAATAATTACAAGTTGCTCTCTTCATAATTGTTCTCCTGCTAAAGTCTCGGACGGTGCTCACAGACCGAATGATTATTTTGTCTGTTTGTCCACTTTTTCCTGGCGTGGACACTGTAGCAAATTCGGCCCAACTTTATTGACTTTATATGTAATTGCATCACGAGAATAGCTCAACATGTTCAATTTTACTGTAAACGTTAAGTGGGAATGACAAATAAATAGCTTGACCTCCTATTTAGAGAACTGTGAGAGCAAAGGTCTTTTCTTTGTTCCCTCGAAGTGATGTTACACGATAGTCGTCCATTTCTTGAGCGAGAATGAGAACAAGCATGAAGGGATACTTTAACAAGTGTGTTTTAAGTAGGAAGCGTGAAAACATAGTCGCTCTATGTGGCGGATGTTGCTGGTGGGTAGTTTGGGAATGTATCCACCGTGACAAATAAAAGCAAAAGATGGACGTAAACACCAAAATTCAAGACAGCCCCTATTTGTGGTTGATTTATTCGGGATTATGTGGGCTGAAACGTACAAATCTAATCAAAGGAACACATTAAAGCAGATCCAATCATGATGTCGGAGTGATGTCGAAATGTACACGTTTGGACGAATGTGTGTGTTAGTGGTTGTACCTGCAGGCCTGCTGCTGGTCTTCCTTTTCAGCCATCTGTCCAACGTCTCGGCGCTCACGCTCTCCAGCACAAAGTCATCCAGCATCTGCGGGTGCAGAGAGAGGTAGGCCTTCACTTTCTCATCTGTCAAGCCTGAGAAGCACAGAAGCAAAAGACTGTTTGAACTCACTCACTGCACAGCCTTTTTTCATGAATAACTAATGCATAAAGATTTGGAAAATACATATTCGGGAAGTTCAAAGGAAAACAAAATATGGGAGTATGTGGCATTACTTTGTGCGACAATATGTGACATGCTGTTACAATTGGGCAAGCATGGGAGCACCTGAAGTACTCATACAGGCGGGCCATGTTTATCTATGTTTACAGTCAAGCAGTGTCTCAAGGGATGGGAGCCCCCAACAGAGGCCGCAGAATAAAGGAGGACTCGATTGTGCTTAATAGGCAATTAGGTTCTTGAGAGGTCGCTAAGTGCTGCTGTTTACTGTCTTTGTTGTCAGGGAAATAGCCTTTCGCCAGATTATTGTTGAGGGGAATTTGTTTTGAATGCTCGACCGGCATCTGCTCGCAGCTGCCTTGATTCACAAAGAGAAACCAACATATTTAGTTTATCCAGTGGCTTCAAGGACCGAGCTCCTGGTCCAGGAGAGAAAATTAATCATACAATATGACAGAAAAAGTCCCAACATAATGACTTTCGGTTCCATCCATAAGCCAAAAAGGGGTTCAACAAAGTAAGACAGCAAATAGTGAGATGTAGCCTCATCTCATTTTAAAACACAGGAAGTAAAGCAGAACTATCATTTGATTAATGCAAAGAATTAAAGTCACATCTTTGAATATCAACTTGGGCAAAAGGTTCGACTGCGCCCCAGATTGGTTGCCAATCAGTCACAGGTCACATAGAGAAAAACTACGTTCACACCATCACTGAGTGGGAATAGACCCGCACGCCGCATGCAACAAAATCAGGTGACTGTACCACTACAGATCAGTGACTGTCTTTTAATATGAGTTAAATATTAGTTCAAAAATAGATACAAACCTACATGTTTTTGTGTGTCAAGGTCTTACAGAACTTGCATTTGCAGGCAAATAAGGAAATGGAAGGTAGAGGTAAGGAGGATTTGGGGGGTGCAGGATGCTGCTCTGCAGTCTGACACTGTCCAGACACGAGACACCGGGCTTCAGAAGTGCAAGGCCTCGTGAAACTCCTGGCCAGCTCTGACGCAAATCGGCGGAATATGGCTTAATAAATCAAAGCAACTTAAGGGGGTGGGGGAGGGTCGAAGAGAGCTGCTGTAGCAGAAACCAGAGCACGGCATTGCTGAAACTTTTGTGCCGTTTGGAACACAAGGAAGTGTTTACTGTCATAAGCAGCACTTACTGTACACACACACACACACACACACACACACGTGTGTGTGTGTGTGTGTGTGTGTGTGTGTGTGTGTGTGTGTGTGTGTGTGTATATATATATA